GCTGGGTCGCGGTGTAAGATCAATCACCAAGTGGGTCCCGGGAAAAAGTTGAGAAGAGCTGCTTTAATTAATCGAAGGGCTACAGGAATATGGTGAAGCCCCTTTAGCTACTACATAAATGTGACAGACGCCCCAAGCTGGTGGGAAATATTTATACAATTTGGTGGGTATAAAACACTTTTTTGATAGTCAATAAAATACTAGAACGTCATATTATATTTTAACAATTAAATTCATCATTTTTCTGTATAAGAGATGGCTTTAGTTAATTTATTTTTATGAGAATTGATTAAATAATCATTTTACAAACGTACAATATACTCTAACCTCGTACGAGGGCGTCAAAATGGTGCATTGTGGGAAGCTTAGGTCAAGCTGTTGCAGATCCTGGGTAAGGTTTTGACCCTAGCGCGGGGATTATAGCGTAAAAGCTGGAAAAGACTTTTGGCTACCTTAAAATAATTTTAATTTGCATCTACAAGGGCTGGCATTTTTTCGTTATTACGAAGATTGTATTTAACTTTACATACCTGAGTTATCGTAGAAATCTGAAAATGGCACAGAGACCTGCATTTAATCCAGAAGACCATGATTTAGATAAGAGCTTTCGCATGTCTAAATCTGTGGACTTGAAAGGTTCTGCATGCTCATTGCGTGAAGAATCATCCGATAAGCTTTTAAAGATATTCAAAGACGAAGAAAATGAACTTCTTTCCCAGGATCAAAATGCTATGGGCTTACTTGACCAGCCTCAATCTATTATGCCACAACTTGGTAAGTTCCCTTTTAAAGTTGTTTGCGGCATAGTAGTACACAGACAAACAATTCTCACTGCACTGAATCTGAACTGCACTTCATTTTGAGTAGGGTCCTACTAAATACCACACGGAACCACTCGCAACCACTCGCGACCACACGGGACCACTCGCGACCACACGGGTGCAAAAATGATAAAAATATTACCACACGAGAGTAGAAAACTACTTAATAATCAATAGAAACCAACTTTTAGTACGGTAATTATCCAAAATATGGTAAAAATGATTTTTTTTTACAGGTTTTTCCGCCGTGCTTCGGAAGGTAATGCGGTGGACATTGAGGTTCTGTAACGCATTCACGTCTCCAGAAACGCGTTCAACCTTGACCTCTACAACATTCACTACGTACAGTACGTTACATTTCATCCTGCGTGTATGCCTATTGTATGTATAGGCCTATTATTCTACAATAACTGTATTTATTACTGTATCTGCTTTGTATTTTTTATACTCATGTGTTTTTGACTCTTATTATTTTAATTTTAATTTTTTTTTTTATTTGTATTGATCCTGTAGTTATGTTATGTTTTAGCCCAGAGACAAAGCTAGTTAACTTCTTATGAATAATGTTTTTAAAGATGGTATTTTGAGATGTTTTCTATGAAAATAAATAAATAAATAAATGGCAGTAGTACCGCTTTTTGTGATTCAATGGTAAATAAATAGATAAAAAAAATGAAAGGAAGGTTCTTTCAAATATTGTGTTTGTGCTTCTTAATGTAATTTTGTTGGTTTTGATACACCGTATCATTGGGAGTGTAAGCTCAATAATTTATAATTATAATCGAGAGACTTATTCTAAAGTATTCAAGGCACTCCACGTGAAGTCTAATTAACTTAACAATTGTATATAATAAAAATGAAAAATATGTTTTGTTAATAGTAATATTTAATGTACAAAATTGCACTATTTATTACACATGATAATAATATTAAGAATAATTATTTTTATTTATTATTATTATGCTATATTATTATTATTATATGTTAATATAATAGGCCGTATACCTATTTAAATTATGTATCTGTTATAAAAATGGAAAATTTAAAAATATATACTGACAAAATAAATGTGGGTGTGACTCCCACGGAAGATAAAATTGTCAGTTCAGAATTCATTCCATTTGGTAGGCCTATTGGATTTGTATCAAGTGTAAAACAATTGAGGAAAGGAGATTTTCTGCATTAATATAAAGAATAACAAAGAAAATTGGTAGGCCTATTGGATTTGTATCAAGTGTACAACAATTGAGGAAAGGAGATTTTCTGCATTAATATAAAGAATAACAAAGAAAAAAACTTATACATATAGATATATAAATAAATAAGATTCAGTTCCATTGGGTTACGGGTAGAATATAAACAAATAGATTCAAGATTACAAAAATAAAATTGTTTTATTTATACATTTTTATTCTCATCAATTAACTACTCGCATCGGAACCGCTCAATTTTATTATTGTATGTTATGTAGATAGATTTGTCGATTGTACAGTATTCTAGTTTATTGACATATATCAGCCCTGCAGCTATATAAGCCATTATTGTTATTTTATCAAGTATAGGTCCTGTCTCTTATACACATCTAGATGTGTATAAGAGACAGTGCTCATATTCGGTAATTGGACCTCGTCGCTATCTACCACTCTGCTTTCGTTATCTTGTCGGAAAAGTAGACTGATCAAAAGAGAGGATGTTGTTGTGACTCCTTATAAATAACAACTCCCTGGTCTATGTAAACACCGCTATTCATACTCTTTAGCTGATGATTGTCTTCTGGTTCCATTTGGACCATTTCTTCTGTTTCATTCTTCTGCTTCTGCTAAAATTGACAACCACATTCCTTCGAACTTCGCATAACAATGATCATGTACCATGTCCTTATCCCTGTCTGAAATAAGAATGACATGTACTATATCTGTCTCTTATACACATCTTTTGTGTGGTAAATTTTGGGACAACAATCGACTTAAAGTAACTTAAATCACGTTCAAATGAACAAATACAGCAATTGTGCGGAAAAGTTTAGATGACTACGCCGGTTAGCAACAAACACTGTATGAATACCACAGTTAGGTTCGAGATGAATCCCTTTATTTTAAACTATCTCATTCAATTCTATAAATACAGAAAAGCATCATTAGAACTCAAAATACAATATAAATCCAAAACAGCAGCATAAAACTTTCATTATCTTTATGCATCATGACATTCAACATATGACCTTTAACCTTTATGTAATCAATCATCAACTATTCAGTATTCAATATCAACAAATGGTATCGAGCAATTCCCGTAGTACAAACCATAGCATAGTTAATCTTAGTTCATGATGTCTTATTATCATTGTTACAATCGATCCCTTTAAATTCACAATATTATTCTAAACTCTATTAAATATCAACTTCAAAATTATAACTCTAAACTTACTACTTTGCCGGGTATAAATACAGTCCGGTCAGCCTGATAAGTTCAGCTCAATAGCAGGTTAGCAAATTACACAGTACAGCATGACATGAACAACATCATAACCTAAATATTAATTAACATTATTAAACACTGTTTGCAATGTAAAGAAACATGGTAAAACTTAATTAGGAATACTAACAGTGCAGCAGCACTTACTGCATAAACAATTATCTACTAAGAACAAAGAAAGCAAGTCTATCTTATCTAAAACAACTGCGCTCCAACAGCATTAATAGAAAAGGTCATTTTGAGTAGGCTTGGGTGCCTTCTCGTACCCTGATATCAAGTAGTTTTTTAAAATGCTGTCGATACCGTCTGCTTCTGTTAACGAATCATTTATGATTCTCCTTTGGAGAAATGTTATTCGTTATACAGAGTATGTAGTATCATATAAGTGGACAATGTTTCAATTTTATAGTTTGTTTGTATTTTTTAATGAATTATTTTGGACACCCCTCCATCGGAAATTGCATTGCTTTGTTCATGTGCCGTAGATGGATTGGTACATGTTGGAGCAAGTTTTATTGACAAAATGAATCTCGTTCTCGGGTAAGTCTCGAAAGAAGGGACCATCTTACCTACTATTGACAATACTATTAATAAATATTACTACTAATACTATTAATACTAAACTATTGGCTACTGTATATGCATCGACCATATACTAACTCATTGGCTAGGCCTAACTTAAGATAGAGTAGGCCAGGTCCTACTGAGGTTTCCATGTAGGGGTCTAGGCCTATGGCTATGCCTGCCAAGTCTTTCCACCAAGCTTCTGCTGTTCTTACTACAGTACAGTATGAATGACTAAATTCCTAGTTAGTATTTTTTAGATTATTTGTTTGAATTGATTTTATTTTATTCTTTTGCTATAGGCCTAGGCCTAGATTTATTCAGTTTGGTTAATGAATGTATTTTTCCAAAAACCGAAAGGTCCACTGATTAATCTCAGATAAGAAAGTATAATACATACTCCAAGTATTGAAATACACGCCATCGTGTTGGGATTCAATATTTCGACATTAATTATGTCATCATCAGTATTTTTTAGATTATTTGTTTGAATTGATTTTATTTTATTCTTTTGCTATAGGCCTAGGCCTAGATTTATTCAGTTTGGTTAATGAATGTATTTTTGAATTGAATTTATTTAATGTACTGTAAATCATAGTTATTTATTTTTTTTTTAGGTGAAAGTGCTCATATTGGGATAAGACCATGCAATGGAGGTTTCAGCATGATTCAAAGTACGAATATGAGTCCAGCATTGGTGGATGACCCATATATGATGGTACTGTACTTGTAATTGTTAGAAAATGAATAAGTACAAAAAATCAAGTCAGATTCTCAGCATTTCTAGACTTTCAAAATGTCTGATAATGTTAATCTTTTTATTAATTATTCATTTTAGGGTAAAATAGCATGTTCGAGTACTCTGGCTGATCTATATGCCATTGGCATCTTGAAGTGCGACACTATTGTCATGCAACTTGGTCTTCCAAATAAATTCTCAGACAAGGAAAGAGAGGCCATTGCTCCATTGATAATCCAAGGCTTCAAAGTAAGATGTTTTAAACTGTTCACCACACAGTCACAAACTAAGCATTAGAGTATATACTTTTGCTAGCCATTTACTCAATACACTGTAGATTTACTTACAGTCCACTGTTGAAATTCACCATGCTGTGCACTTCTTCCTGTACATGTAAACTGATGTAAGTAAAAAGAAACAGCTACTGGTAATTGTTATTATTTTTTAAATATTGCATAATCACATTGAATGAATTAATATATTGTTTACATGTAGGATACAGCAAAAGAAGCCAAAACCGATGTCATCGCAGGTCACACTTTCTTGAATCCGTGGTGCGTTGTTGGGGGAACGACGACGGTTATCATACCACCGCATGATATCATTACGTAAGGTGTTTTTGTAATAGTAGTACTGTATTTTAATCAACATAGAGCTAAGACTAACAAGCAGCCCTAATGTTAGACTGCAATGAAATAATTGATAAAATACATTTACAAAACTTAAATGCTTAAATATTACCAGTAAAATTAATCCTAAAAAATACACATTTTATATAAATCTGTATATTTTTTCTTTGTTAGGCAAGACTTTTATACCTTGTTTAGCAAACCAGTCGCTCACCAATAATGATGATTTCAAATAAAAATAAAATATTACTTTTGGCCAATTAGTGCACCCACCACCACGAAAAAATGTAAATTTATTTTTAATCTACAAAAATAAGATATGTATATTTCTTCCTAATTTAACAGAACTATATACTACATTTAAAGCATTTAACCATCCTATTCACTTTTTACATTCACCAATAAAATTATTTTCTCCTCCATCTGGATGTGTTTGGCAAGAACTGCTCGCTAAATAAGAAAAAAAAAAAAATTTTTATTTCTTTTTCCACCCTTAGAAGTTTGCAAAGCAAGTTATAAAAAAAGTTTCATCTTATTAATAGTATTGTTCAGTAAGAATTATGAATGATGTTTATTGGAATAATTATTTTATAATTGTAGGCCTGATAGTGCAATTGTTGGAGATGTGTTGGTCTTGACAAAACCACTTGGAACCAGTGTTGCAGTACAAGTGCATCAGTTTCTGGAATTAACAGACAAGTGGAACCGCATCAAGCCCATTGCAGCTGCCGAGGATATTGAGAGGGCGTACCAGGAGGCCATGTACAATATGGCCAGGTTAAATAAAAATGGTAATATATTTACTTAATATTATTTTTAGACTGATGATAATTGATGTACAAGGTAATCTTTACTCATTCAATGCAGGAAGTTAAAAGCTTGCATGAAAAAATGTGAACATATACATTTATTTTTCAAAAAAAAAAACATTCATGAGTCAGCATGAGAAGTCATTGTCAAGATGCATTGGCTTGATTCATGAAACTTATAAAGTAGTATAAGTCAACAGCTGTAATCATAAGTGGTACATTGTTTGGATACACCAGAAGCCAGTACAAATAATCAATTTATTCTGCATTTACTGTCAAATTTGGAAAATTATGCCTGGGTGAAGCAATTGCCACAAAGAAGTGCATCTCCCCAATATTGATAATAATAATAATTTTATATTTTATTTTATATTTTGTTGCATTGTTTGTAGTTTACATTTTTAACATCAATATTTAAATTGTTTTTTCTGTATTGCTGTTAGAGCCACCCTCTCAAAAGATTATCAAATAAATAAGTAAATAATAACAAGATGATTTAATAAATAATTATTTTATTGGTGCCTTCTCTGTAGCTGCTGACACAATGCGAAAATTCAATGCACATGGTGCTACAAACGTAGACGGTTACGGGATACTTGGTGCTGCGAAACGATTGGTCAAGAATCAACGCAATGAAGTCAACTTTGTTATACACAATCTACCGGTCATCGGCAAGATGTCATCGGTGGCAAAACCGTTTGCCATTCAGCAGTTTTCCGCTTACGGTAACACGTTCAAGCTCACTCATGGTATTTCACCAGAAACATCAGGTGAGTTATTGTTTAAATCTGTGCATGGTTTTTAAAAAATTTTAACCATATTTATAGAGGGTGACCCTTCCAGCGTATCCTAGAGGATTGGCTGATATTCAGGGCCCTATTAAATATATGAAATAATGTGATACTTTTGTCAGCAGTCTCTTTATGAGGCTTAGTGAGTGGAGTTGTTTTTAGTCGTAAGAAAAAGGAATTGAAGAGATGACCCTGGGATTAGAAAGCAAGCATGGTTCTCTCTGGTTTTTTTTTTCAATATTGTAGTTGATTGCAAGTAAATTGTCATTTAAAGCCTATATACACAGAAGGTGACAGCGTCTGAATAGAATCTATTGTGTTATTTACATTGTGGTGTTTCTGTGCGACAGCAAAATTCAGTTCAGCAAAGAATAATTTCTAAAAATTATTGCTCATCAAAAAACATTCTGACCGTCAAGTTTCTGATGTTAAGGCAACACTGCATCATCAGTATTTACTATTAACATAATCTCCATGCAGTCACTAGATTACCTACACCCCATCCTGTGTGGTTTAATTTGCTTTGATCTTTGTCGGCAAGTTGTAATTCTAAACTGTGTGTGCAGTGTATTATTTTAAACACTTTGGATTTGTTTCCTATATATAGGTGGACTACTTATTGCTTTTCCAAGAGAACAAGCAGCCGCGTACTGTAAGGAAATAGAACGAGTTGACGGCCATACTGCATGGATTATAGGCATCGTAGAAAAGGGAGAGCGCAAAGCGAAGGTCATCGACAAACCAAGAGTCATAGAGGTCACAACGAAAATGAAATAAAATATTTTTTGCTATCCACAAATGTTCAGTAGCATCTTAAAATTCTTACAAATGTAAAAAATAATTTGCTAAAATTAATATGCTGAATTCATTGAATGGCATAATTTCGGATCAACATTGAACAATCATATAAATGGACATCAAAGTTCACCGTCTAATTGAGACCACCTTTGGGACCTGAAAATTTAGGGTGCTCAGTCTGCAATTAGAGGGTTACCTTGTGTTAAGATAGATTGTTGGTGCTTTAAAAAAGCGATCTTCTCGGAGGGCAAACTGTATTATGATTGAACCGTATTTGGGTGTCAAACTGACCAATCAGTACAAGGCCAGGGATTCAACGTGTACTACAAGTACATGTTGTCCCACAAGGGCACATGTTTATATACGTTTACTCTATTGTTTGCGCCAAGGGGCAAGCCTTGGCGGAAAGTTCCATTGAAGTCATTGATGCTTGGTCTCAAAACATGTCTTTTTCTAGCATCAACTTCTAAAAGGCATAAACAAAAATCAGATTTTAACTGTCTGCATTAATTAGTATCATCATCATCATTTTAATCCATTTTATAAAAAAAAAAAGTTGGAAATAGAATTGTTGGATTAAAACAAATTTTTCAGTAGATAGATGCTCTTTACATTATTAACTGCATGCTGGGTAAATATATAGATACTGTAAAGTATTACACTTTATATTTTTGTTCATTATTTTTTCAATTGTAAAAAGCACATCTGGGATTTTGTATGTGCTAAACTGGATAAAAAATAATAATTGAAACATAATTCTTTGTCAGAAACTAAAAAAGGTGTTTAATGGCAATATTATATTATCATGTGATTACTACTGTATTACTGATGCTTGAAAGCATTTTGTCAAACAATTTTGGGAAAATTATGGTTGCATTATTTTTATCAGTAAAACTGTAGACCATTGTAATTCTTACTATTATACTTTTACATGTAGAGTAACTACTTCTACCACAACAATATGTCATGTATGAACATTTTTAAGTGTAGTCTGCTTTTTAAAGATATTGTGTCCATCATTTTCTAGTTAATAGACTTGCAACTTTATTTTCTAATTAAATAATAACATGCTTAGCATTTTCAGAAAAGCAATATACTGTATATCCTTTGTTTAGTTTAAAATGTAGATACTGTACCTAATGTTTACTTGCTTGTTTGGTTTTTTCTGTATCTGATCTGAAACTCTAACAGGTACTTACTGTAAGTTCTATTTTGCATCAAGTTAAAATAATTTGCCCTTTATATCTTTCAAATATTTGGGTTGTTTTTTTTGTAAAATACTGTACTATGAACCAAAAGTCTGTTATGATGTTAAAATATAAACAATTTCTAAATGGTTTGAATTTGTGTTTTTCTAAAGAAGTAATACTTGCATCACCATAAATGCTTAAATAAGCGTCCCACCAAACATGATTTTTTTGCTATGAGCCGAGGCGCTTAATCGAGAGTATTATTATACTAGTGTGTTTAATGAAACACTTTGAGAAACAGTGTTAAAATGAATAAATAACACAATGAAGACAAGTATTTCTTAACGTTTATTTACGATGACATTGGACCTACGATAGGCTTACCGTACTATGGGAATATGAGAGATAGGAACGGGCATGAAAGCGCTACGCCAATATTTTTTTATTAGCGCTTCTCTCGAATAAGCGCTGTACTGAAACCTCCAAAAAAATTTTATAACCGCTGCGGCACTTATTCGAGCATTTATGGTACACCATTTCATCCATCGCTGTACGTACATCTTGTAGCTTTGATCTGCAAAGGAGTGTAAATGGGTACCTGGTGTGGTTGATATGGCAACAACAATCACTGTGGATCGGGAAAGATGCTTTGTAAAGGAAAAGTAGAGTATTCACTAATAGAATAACAATGTATGAAGTATAGTAAATAACTATCCCTACACTTGACAGCAAATAATTTTTAAATAATCAAAGTTTATTCAGTTTAGTTTTATTCTTTCATATTATGTAACTGTACAATATTTTTATCTCAAATGTTTCAATAAAAATTTGTTTATTATATTCTCTTCGGCATTTGTTAGATAATGAATGTGAAAACAAGATTTATTAACATACAATACCTTTCGTACTGGAAGATAGTGGTATAAATCAAATTATCTTTATTAAAATACTGTATTTAGAAAACTGAAAACAAACACCACCATACAAACGCTATTGTTGTGTTCGATATGTAAACTGTTGTTTAAAATTATACTATTTGAGTTACTGTGAGATGATTATACAGTGTTTAAATTCTATAACAAAACACCCAAAATATTCACAACTTTATAAAAAAAAATTTAAAAAAAATATCAACACACTAAATAAAAAAATTATAAATCCTTTTCAAATGGCTCTTGCGGCAAGTATTTATATCGGACAAACACGGTAGATGTCATTTGACTATAGATGTGTGCGACATGACTACTGTATAATGAGATACAATATTTGTCCCATGAAAATTAATGTGGACATTGTTTTCAATAACTCTTCATCCTAGGATGTGTACAATAACGCCAACCAAATGAAAATCTTTTAATATTCAGCGTAATTATATATATTTTTTTCAAATTGTGTCAATTAGAATAAGGTGAATAGAAAACATAAAAACAAAAAGTAATTCTAGGAACAAAAAACAGCTGAAAGCCCCTCTGCAAAATATTTTTTTTAATGATTAATTTAAAAAGTACATGTATAGTGAGTGGTACAGCAAGTGATTCCCTACAGCAGTCAGTTCTGACAGGTACTGTATAGGTAAATTATATACTGGTCAAGTTATGGATTCTGCTGTGGTAATTTTTGATTGGCTAATATTTTAATGCCTAGTCAAAACAGCAACATACTGAGATTTCGCTTAATCTCAATTACTTCATGAAATAAAATACAGTATATTTTTAAAATTTATCCATTAATATTTCATCAATTTAAAATCAATCTTTGATAACATGAAGAGAATCAGTATTTATTAACATTATTATTTTAATTATTTTGCCTATTTTTATGTCACCAATTCTGTACATAATACTTAATAGCTGAAAAACAGAATCAAAAGATTTCACCTCCATAAATAATACTTGACAATACAAGTGTCCCAAAGCTTTAGCAATTTGTAACTGCAAATATAGGTGCTATAAAAATAAAAATGAAGAGTTTCATATACAGTACAGTACCAATAAAAGTTGTTATAATTACACTTGAGTACAGTACTTCAAGTTACAGTACTTGTGTGCATGTTTGGTAGTGTAGCTCATGCGTTGGCTGGCATTTTGTGGCGAAGTATTTTTATAACTTGGTCTTCAGATGCTGATGTATTTGGTGATTATGTGCAGTGTGGAAGTAGTGACTCTGTCCATAGTTTGACATTTAAAGCCTGGCCCAGGCTTCATCAATCTCAGCTTAGCAAATGTCTTAAGTCAAAAAAGTTAAGATGTCCCAAATAAAATCTTAAATAAAATAAATATCTTAGGCTGATTTATGATCCAATCTTAGCAAAATCTTGGCTTAAAAATCATCTTAGATGGCGCCAACGTACAATCGACTTTCTAATTTTAAGCAATTTTTAAGCTAAGCAAAATGGATAAATTTGACTTATAGATGAATTTAAGCTGATTTCTAGTTTGATAAATCTGGCCCCAGGCACTTACAGTGTCTGATGGTCGTCTGCTGACGCAATTCTATTAAGAACGCAAAGCGACGATGCATGCGAACAAATCGTTTTTAATGACTGTCCGTTTAGGCTGTCACTAGCAAATCAGCAGACAGCATTGCGTCTTCTAGCGCTCACATAGAGCGAATTTGGATTTGTCGCACCGTCACACGAAGGTCGTAAAACGCAGTGAGAGCCAGGCTTAACACATAGTTGGATGCTTAGGGGACCACGTCCAATGTAGCACTTTCCCATACCATACTCACTCAAGGGTGTTGCAGGGCCCAGAGAACCTGTTCTGGGCTCTAGTATTTTATGCTAAACCACAATATATTTTAACATAATATAATATATATTTTTACATACATTTGATGTTTTATAGAGCAGCTTTGAATCAACTGAATCAACAAACCCAACAGGTATTACTCACTATTACAGTACATTTAAATAGAATATAAATTTTGTGAGGTGAGCCTGTGCAGGCATGTTGTCTTTATGTCTTTACAAGTGAGGCTACAGTAGTTGTCGCATTAATAACCGTGTTTGAATTCCAAGAGCTTAACAACCAATTAAAATAGAAATATAAGTTCCATACATTTCTCTTTGTCTACAAGTATATAAATACTGTAACCGATCATATTACTATCACATGAGTTTTTCATAGGTCTGGGTCACGTGACATTGTCACGTGCTGACCGTGGCTGCAGAGCTTTCCTCCATGTCAATGAGAACATCTTGTTTATCAGCTGCTGCGTCTTCTTTTGAGCTTGGAGGGAGACTAGCATCATCCGATGTACTTGGTTGGTCATCCATGCTAGGCCAGTCTGTTTGTTGCTCCACCCTTGTTAATCTTTCATTCAAAGCCTTCAAAGCGAGTTGCCTATGCAAAAAACAAAAAATTACAATATGGTATGGAGACAAAGTAATTATGTCATACGAAAGTATATCAAAGAATATTGAATTTTTATATTTGTTCCACAAATTTAAAAAATTAACCCTGTGGTCTGTCATCTAGTTAGCCAAGATACTGGCACTATACTTGTTAAAATTAGATATACAGTTCACAAAGCAAAGATAAATGCAATTTATTAAAAAGCTGTATAGTTCAGTTTGCTAAATTTATTTATTTATTTATTTATTCAACAATATTTCATGAGGGTGTTCTTACAGTGAAGCTGACCCAAAGAGGCCCTCATGCATTACATACAAATATATAAATAGGTAGGTAAATATAAAAATACTATAGAAAAATATAAAGAAGAATCTATAATCTACATCAGCATGGAAATTTTAGTAATTGACAATAGTTTGTGTGCAATGCTGCCGCATGTCCTGGTATAGTGTTGTTTTGGCAACTTGCGAGAGGCGCTTGCAAGAGGGGTAATAACACCTTGCACTGACCTACAATATTAGGAAGTCTTTCAAAATCATTGTATTTACTTAGGTTATGTTAAATGTATCATGTAGAGTGTGTTTTTTTTTTTTAATCTGCAAACACAGTTGTCATTGTGCTGATTTAGAGCAGTCATATAGAAATACTTATTATCTGCAAACCACCTCCGCTTTCAGTTCCTTGATTAGGAAGCATTTAGGCAATAAAGCACATTGTAAACCATCTGAACTTCCTGCCAAGTGTTTTCAGAAAAATGAGCACCCATGCTAATCGTCTGCATCCTTTTACATTTATAGTAAGGTACTTTATGGCATGGTTGTTTTATGGTAGAATCATTTGGTAAAGAGCCTTTTTCCAGTTGATACAAAGCACTACAGTAGGAAAATGTAAAAAGGTCATAGTAATGAAAACGAGTAGGTTTTCATATTCTTTTTGAAATCGTGAACAGATAAAGAGTCCCTTAATGCCTGTGGGAGGGAGTTCCAATGCTTTGGAGCAGTTGCAGAGAAGTTGAAGGCCATATCAATGGCATGTTTCTTTGTTCTCTGTGTGAGATCTGGGTGATGGCTGCAGAAGATCTTGTACAGCAAGTTGGGGTGCACACTTCCAATAAGCTAAATACGATGGCACAGTGTTCTTGAGCAATTTGTAAATGAGTAGGAGTATTTTGAATGTTATTCCATGGTGCACCGGGAGCCAATGGAGTTGGTTGGGAAAAGGGATTGAACGAGTGCATGCAGGTAAGGTGAAAACAAATCTAGCAGTCTTGTTCTGTAAGTGCTGGATTTTGCCACGATCTTTTACATTTAATGCACCATAAAGGGAGTTTACCAGACAGAAGCACTGTCTTAAAATAGACTTCCTGTGAGTTCATGTGTCTTGCTAAATATCAGTTTCGTATTTTTGCAATTTTCAATAAAGGGCCTACTGTAGCCAATCACAAATACTCTATAATCACTGATGGAAAGATGATGATTGCAACTACTGGATATTGCTGATGCAAAGCAGCCAGTCCATGTGGTGTATTCCAAGTTTGGGAATTTCCAAAATCGAAAACAGACAAGAAAAAAAAAATAAGCCTAGCATTTAGCTTAAGTGCTGTACAGCCAACCAAGAACAACGGAACATAATACTAGGCCATCATACATGTCTTGTAAATACTGGTACAGTACAGTAAATAGGCAGTTTTCGCAGCACGACGTTAACCTTAACGGATGACGTCATAATTTATTCATCTTCAATGCGGAGTACGTTAATTTCAGGATTTTACGTGCTCGAGGTACGTTACGGGTTTGCGCATCCATATTTCGATTTGTTTACAAAAGGGGTGGAGCTATCGTGCTGCATGTCGGGTACTAACGTTAAAGTTAAGGTTAACGTCGTGCGGCGAAAACTACCTAATAATTTGTTTGATCCTACGCTTTTAGAAACAATGGCCCTCTTTAGATTAGATTGACTACTGTTCATCATAAATAACAAATTTTAGAACCAAGTTTAGAAATGTCTGAAGACCAGGCCAAATCGCACATGCACGATCAATGTTAGTTAGAAATTTGCATACAGAAAACACAGACGATAACAAACACTTGTTGACCCAAGGGCGAAACCAGATTTTTGCTGAAATTTTAAAATTCTTAATGATTATTTACAGTACCTTCTCCTTTCTGCATCAGCAGGATCTGTGCCGGGTAAGGTGATTGTGATGGCTGAGGGCGCTCCAACATCGTACTTCCGTACTTGTTTCTTGCACACTTTGATTCGAACCAAGAACCCATGAACTACATAAAAAAATTAAACTCTTAATAAATTTGTTAACATGTTGGACCAGCGATGAGTATACTCGCCCGCAAGTTCTTGCAGAGGGCGCCAGGGACGAGTATACTCGTCAAAATCAGGGTAACATTCTAGCATTTATAACTTCTTTGTTATACATTGTAGAACCACAGACTCAACGGTTGGTAGTTCAGTGAAGATACACCTAGACAATAACGTAAAAATGGCATATGTGGGGACACCATTTGAACATATACTGTACAGTACCAACCCACGTAAAAAGCGGACAAGATAACTTGCACTTGGCATAGTCAATAAAAAGTGCTATCACAGTGTCGTCAACAAATTTTTTCCCGCCAATTTATTAGACACATCATTTCGATGATATATGACTAGATAAAATTCCAAAAAAGTATGTTTGTACATGTACTGTAAACTTGTTTTGACATACGGGAAGGAACCCTTTAAAAAAGGTCTGGCAGTCAATGTGTTAAGAAACACCTAAAATGATCTGCAGTGCATGATTAATCCAAAAATACTTTAAACGATTTACATACAGTACCTGTATTAGAAACCACAGCGATAGGAGGTCGGACAATTTCTGGGAAGAAACTGGCAAAACTAAATAAATCTGACATGTCCCCTCGAACCTTGCTGTCTCCCTGTTTCTGATAAAACCTCAAATATATCCAAGCTGCTAAGATTCCTGTATAAATAACATTAACACAATGCCGTTACTCAGAATATGTACTTGTATCAGTTGTATATTGTAAGTAGTCTTCAACAAAGAATGTTCTATTTCTACAGTAATTTCTTTTTAGCACAAACATCCATAGGTGAGAAAGTGTTTATTGCCTTATATTTTATAGATAATTATCATACAACCATACAGGTCTCCCTCCAATTAAAGACCACTTTTGGGAATGGGGTTGCCACGTGGTCTTTAACACTTTGGTCTCTAATTAGAATAGAATAATAAAAATAAAAGACATTTGTTTATATGATGGGACCACAGAAAAGTGGTCTCTAATTGCAGATTTTGTCTTTAATTGGAGAGGGTCTTTAATTAGAGAGAGACATGTATAACATTTTTTTCTAATGATGTGCAAAAAAAATTGATAAATTATATAATGTACTTTCATTCCTGACAGCAACTGTTCATAAAAGTTCTATCCTATAATCACCAACTTTGCTGTTAGGTAGCCTCATACACAGAACAACCTGATATGCCAAAGGTCATATTATGACAGATGGTGTAAGCAGAAAGTTCCTTAAAGGCTTCAGAATGTAACATAAGGCCAATTCATAGTTTGAACTGCACATGCCCATATCAAGGCCAATTGACATAAACAAACATACACTCGACATAGGTTTATGTTATGACTATGAATATGGGCATGTGCATTCAACAATAAGTATATGAAAAGGTCTACAGTAGGCACCACATTTCAAGAAATGCTCATCTTGATCATGATCTTGATAGAGTAATTGAAAAACTCCGGCTGGAGTATCACTCAAGGTTTGGATAGTGGCGACAGAGTGCTACAGTATAAAACTTGTACGTACTGTAGCCACTTATTTGCATAGGTAGGCCTACAGCGTGTATGCTATAAAGAAATAAAACAATTTACATATAATATGATAAATGCACAACAGTACCTGAAACAACCAAACATGGATAGGTTCCAGACACCAAGCCAACTAGCTTCAGAATTATGGATATTAAGACATGCAAAAGAGCGATGTCTTTGACATATACTTTTATGGGACCAGTTGGCAGTTCTTGGTCACCTATCACTTGCTTTAATGCAACCGTTGTCCCAGCTATTACACCGGTCATCCCAAAAAAATGTGTGTCGAAAAGATAGTAAATATTCGAGGATCCCATGTAGATGAAAAGGTATATCAATGATGAAGTGACCGCAGAGCCCACTGTAACTATACTGAAGAATATCAACATTTCTAGTACTCCCCACACGGGTTCAACAAACTTTCCACATATAACTACAGCTAGTACACCTAATATTGCATTCCAGATATGAGTTTCAACGAATGGGTGTGTCAGAAGTGTCCACACTCGAAAACTTGGAGGAAACACCAACCCCGGTGTGACGGATAGCGTCTTCAAAAGAGTTTCATTTTCGACAAAGATTGACGTGAAGTAAAAAAACAGAAGTCCTCCACAAATTGCTTTAATGACAACACTGCCTTTTGTTAGTGCAGTTCGGATATGCTCCATCTGTAGTTGTACTTTCAGTGTTGTGTGTGTTGTGGAAGACGCCATCTTGTTTCGTCGTGGACATAAACACGTCACGAAGCTTACATCAGCCTAAATCCGTTACAAGAACCAGATATAACGAATAAAAATCAAATCCGTTTATTGTATGGTTTTCTATGCAAAGCTTTAACAGATGTGCCTAGCAATCAAACCTCTCATGTAACTCTAAAGTTGAACATTCGACGCATTTATAGGTCAATTCATGAGTTCCTTCTTCTGCAGACACATCTTGTTCCCGAACACAACATTGGTTATAGCGCCCTCATAAATTTGATTGCTGAATGCTGCCCTCAAAAATACAATACAGACCATACCGGGTGATTGAGACGTAGGCCTGTCTAATTAGCTCTAAAAACCTCGAAAAGAAGCCCAGTGAGCTTAACCTCGAGAAGAAGCCCATCTTCAATTGTAGCCCTTTATTTATTTTCCAAATACAGCCACGAAAAGAGGCCCATCTCGAAAAGAATCCCATGGGTATCTGTTCAATCACGAGACATGTCTCGTGTTATTACTAACGCCCCTCGAAATAAGCCTAACTCATATTTTGTCATACTGTATTTAAATTCATTTTATAAATTTATTTTATACTGTTTATGTGATTATGTCAATTACATTTTAACAAATATTTAATATATCAGGAAATTGTACTATATTTGTCAGATTTTCAGCTAATAGGCATAGGAGGCCTACTTTTAAAGTTGCCAATATACTGTATTATAAGTTAGATTTACAGTGCTTCATTCCAATAATGGTGTAACTGACAACATCAAACATATCGCATTCTTGGGGCTGTCTCTTATACACATCTAGATGTGTATAAGAGACAGATGATATACATATTCATTCATTCATTCATTCTCTTTTTATTTCGGAAATATATCTGTATACTTACAATTACCAGTTACAATGAGATAACAAAAAAAAAGAAAAAAAAATGAATACAGCAAGTTATTCCATTTCGGATAAAGCTTGAAGCTTTTAAGGATATGCTGTGACACACAGTATCATCTAACTTGTTGCAACTATTTGTGGCTCTTGTCCTAAATTCTAAAACGGATTTTATATATATTTTCTATATATTTCAGATAGATATAATGGCCTATTCTGTTTGGAAAGCTTTCCAGGTCTAAATTCACTCGTTAGAGTGAAATATCGCAAAGAATGGTATTCAATCTGCGGGAAGATATGGCCAAAAGAAGGTGCCAACACTGTATGTAAGCGACATAATCATATCGGGAGTTTAGCAAAGAGCGTGTCGTCCGAACCGGCCGGGGTCGGTACATCCATGAAGTTGGCAGTCATTGACTGGAAATGTATGGAGGGTAATTGCAATAAATGTGAAAATTGTATAAAACTCATAGATCGAGAACCTAGTACCACAAACGGAGATTCATGTAGCGACGTTGCTAGAGTACAATGCCAAGGTAAGGTGTATTGTGTTTCGGTCCAGGGTCATCCATGTGACACTAAAGCGAAACGACGAAGTACGGTGTTGCCATAACTATGTGCCGCTTATTTAAATATTTCTTTAACAATTCTGTTACCAACCTCTAAATATAGGCCTAACGATTAAAAAAAAACCATGTTATTTCTTCATAACTAATTAATTATTATTATTTAGTATTATACTCATTTTATAAACAAGCCTATATAATTTTTATTTATTTTTTCACACAGGCATTGAAAAGAGCCATTTGATATTGATTCAGTTCATTCCTTATGACTATGTTTCCCGTACGATAACGAATAGAGCTAAATAAACTAGGCTATATGAAAATTTAAATTCTTGAAATATCCTATTTATTTCTAGATATACGATTAACAAAGAATACGTTGGGTACAAGAAGTGGCATGCTAGAGAAGTATCTATCTGACAAAAAATGGGGAACAGTGTGTCCATTAACGTGGGATATATCTGAAGCAAGTGTAGCTTGCAATCAACTGTATTCGTGCCCAGCACAGGATGCATTAGCAGAGACCAAATATCGTGGTAGGACTGTTGCTTCGGTGCCAATAAACGTGCGATTTTTCAAATGTTATGGCAATGAATCGTCACTAGACGAGTGTGAATCCATGCTTGGTGACACTTGCGCAAAGGGTGATCAACGTCGTGCCGGTCTCATCTGCAGAAGTAAGTTTTCTTTTCAATTCTTCAAATTCCATATTTAATAACATCCTGGAATTCTTCTCCTCCTTCTCTTTCTTCTTCTCCTCCTCTACCTCTCTCTTGCTTCCCTCCCCTTGTGAAATTTCTAAGCACATTGTACAACATTTTTGCAGGTAATTGTACTCGGCCAATCCAGTTAACCAACGTGTTGTTATATCCCGACAGAGAGAATTACGCGCCAAATGAACAGGTTAATATCTCTTGCGCCCCAGGTTACCAGCCACAATCTGGAGAAACAGAGAAAATCACATGTCAAAGAAACTGCAGATGGACTGAACCAGAGATAGAATGCAAACGTATGTAGGCCTATATGGCCAATGAAACAAACATTAATAGGGGCCTACGTATTTTTATTCCTAAGGTTCAATCTATGTTGGCAATTTCAAAATCAAAGAAAGAAACTTCATGACCTTCTGAGATTCAATCTGTATTGGCAACTTCAGATTTAAAATGAAACCTACCGACCTCCTAAGACTCAGTTTGCGTTGGCAACAGGGGACAATCAAGATCACCTAAAATTCAATCTGTGTTGGCAACTCCATTTAAATACTCTCAGCATGATCTCCTCACCTTCAGTCTGGCCGCATTTCAAATTTTAAAAATGCTCACGACCTCCACGCAGTTATCATTATTACAAAGACTATATAAATTTTTATTGTCATGTAATTTTCATTTTCTTTTCTGTAGCCGTGTGCGATCCACCAGGTGAAGTGCAAAATGGTACGTTTGCTCCTCAACAAGCGTTCTACTACGCCGGCATATCGGTTAATTTCACTTGTCAAGAACATTTCAAACTGAAAGGATTTTCTATGTTAACTTGCCGGGAAGATCGAACTTGGAGTCAAAATTTACCAGAATGTTTAGGTAGGCCTAAATATAATAATAATCATGATCTGTGTTGCAATGTTCATTTTGTTTTTCTTTTGGAGTTGGAGATGTATGTAAGGATTAAGAGAATATCAAAACAGTATAATCTGTAATCAATTCATCGTTGATATTCATCGGCACTGAAAATCATTATTTTTTTTTCTTATCATGTATGTAAAACTTTCAAGAATAAACGTTACTTTATATAAGAAAATTAAGCCTGTTGCTTGACGATTATTTTTTTTAATTATTATTTTCAGACGAATTTAAGAAACCACCACAAGAAAAACGCGGAGAAGATGATGGTGAGTTGGTTAATTGTTTCTTTTTTCCCCCTTTTTTTTGTTCAGGATTTCCCACAGGTGAAACACATAGGTGAAAAATCAATAAATGCGAGGTAAAGGCACCCTATCGTACCATCCCGGTGTCCCTGATTCAAAGGTAGAATTTAAGGCGTGAACATAAAATTACAGTGAAGTACGACAGTATGGGATTTTGCTACTAGAAACTATTCTCAGTAGTTAGAACATGGTCCGATCACTGATATTTTTTTAATGAATGTAATTTTATAAACATATGAATTCGTTGAATGTCATCAAATATGACCTCGCATGTAGAGGCTGTGATTTGAACACGTATACTGATATCGTAAGGTTAAGAGAGATTGCCTTATAAATAGAAAAACCATGGTCAGATAATGTTCTATTAGTCCAATGAGAGACTTAGGCCTACCAGAGATTGAAATGATAGGCCTATTTTGAATTTTCAGCTTTAGAATAAAGTTCAATATAATTA